GGCCCGACGTGCCCAGGTGCTGACTTTCCCACCAGTTCTCGGCATAGAAAACCTCACCCTCAACTGGTGGCAGGATTTCCTAATGTGACCCAGGTGACCCTGCTATCTCTAGGCAGATGTATTTTAGTCATAGACCCGCCAGCACTCTCTCGTCTAACCCACTGCCTGCCCTTCCTCCATTAGCCTGGCCTCTGTTCCCTGAGGCCAGAGGGTCCCAATGAGCAGAGTGTGGGCAGGGTCTGGGGAGAAGCTGCCCCTCTGGGCCTACTCTGGCAGGGAATGCAGAGACCCTGCTGGCCCTGGAGGAGCCTCTGAGCCCCGTGGGGCAGAGGACACACACTGGTGACTGGAGGTGAGGACATGGCCTCCAGTTCCATTGACTCCGATGTGGGCCCAGCCTGTGAGAGCCACTGGTGCCCAACAGGCCTGGGTGGACTTCTGGAGCCCGAGGGCCAGCCAGACTGACCCTGTGGCGCAGCACCTCTAGACCCCATCAGGTGTTCCAGTGATGTCTCTGGACTTGATTTCTCCAGTGACCTTGCCTATGTGGTGAGGACTCTTACATGTGAAAGGAAAGCACTGATGGTACAAACAAATCACTAGTTTAAGGTCCGTGGTTTAATCCTGAAACAAATCCTGAACGTGCTGTTTGAAGTAAAGTGCTAGTGGCTTTGCTGGCCCCCCTGCAAGGTGGTGGTGTCTGATCGTAGAAAGGGCGTGGCAGTTGAAGCAGGGAGTGTAGTGGGGAGTCGGGGTGCAGTCAGTCACCCCAACCCTCAGAACCAGTCCTGCCTCTGGGTCTGAGGAAGTCAGGGCCCCTGGCTGGGTACCAGAAAACTAACATTGACTACTTTTGCCCATTTCTACCAAGTATAGAAGCTCTGGGAATGGTGTCACAGGGCTGGATGGGCACACGGAACTCTGGAGATCAGAGCCATGGTCCTCCCATTGAAGCTGTAAAGTGAAGAGAGAATTAATATACCTGTTCTCTTTGGGCTGTGGTCAGGAGAATGGATAGAAAGGGCTTTAAAAATTAAAAGAACTATACAAGTGTAAGTTGTTCATGGAATCAAAGGCCTTGTACCCCAGCACACAGAAAGTACTTGTGGAAATGTCTATTTGTTGACTGACCATCGAATCTAAGGTGACCTAAGGAGGGCTTCTTAAATTGTCTGCTTCAGGTCATTTTACAAATTAGGAAACAAAGGCTTGGGGAGATGACGCTAGAGTCAAGTTTGTGGTTTCTTTAGGGAAGACTTAGCAGTCCAGGCTGGGGTTGGCGAGCACGGTTCTGGAGAGGCTTTTGAGTCCCTGTCCTCTGTGATCCTAGGACTGGTAAGACCACATGCTGTCCCCTCCCAGAGCCTGGGCAGAGGGTGCCTCACTAGGGGGGCCTTCTGTCCCCTGTCCCTTCAGACCTCCCAGTCCGCAGGTGACCTGGGAGGATGTGCAAGGGAACGGGAAGCACTCTGCGAGGGCAAGCTCTGTTAAAAGGTAGAATGTTGGGGTTGGGTTGGAATAGAAAAGGGGCCCCAGTTATTACTGGTGGGTGAGATAAAGCCTGAAACATGGAGGAAGAAGAGAGACCTTTGGCTGTGGGACTAGAGGAGAAAAGTCAGAAGGGAGGTGGAGATCTCAGACGTCACGTCAAGTGGCCTTCTGGGTGCAAATGGGGAAGACACTGGAGTCTGTACCCCTGGCGCTGAATGAGTGAATCCTAGTCCTCTCCCCTTAACCCTGGATCCCCGCCCTGCAGCCCGCACATGTGTAGACCTGCCTGAGTTATGCAGGATGGGCAGGTCTTGGCTCAGCTGACGCAGTTGTGGTCTGGCGTGTATACAGATGACCCGCCCAGTAGGCCTTCCTACAGGAAGAGAAGGACCGCAGTTTCAGGAAGTAGAAGAGAGTTGACGTAAGCAGCTTTCCCACCTGCAGAGGTCAGAGGAAGTCTGGCTGAGCAGGGGACAGGGGGTGGGGGCTCCCCTCGTCCGTGCCAGGCCTTCCAGCTGGGGGCTCCTGGCCTCAGGAGTGAAATGGAGCTGTGAGGGGCACACTGGCCCCTACAGGAAGGAAGACTATATCCCTTAGCAGGAAAGGATGCCTGCCCCAGGAGGTGTCCTCCTTGTCCATCCGTGGAGGCAGGCAGGCGGAGAACCACCCACCTCCTCCTCTGTGTCCCAAACCCACCCCCAGAACATACTCAACTGCTGAATGAGCAGACAGATGAACTAATGTACCTGAGTGTCAGCCACTCAGAGCTTGATGAGGACAGAATGGAAATACTGGCTCTTTGCTCCTTCCCTTGCTTCCGTCACTCATGCTCCCTCACTGTACTGGGCTGGAGGAAAAAGCAGGGCAGAGCTCGGTTTGTTTAAGGAGCTAGCAGAAGGCCTGGGAGGGGACGTGAGTACTGTGAGACAGAGAGGAGGACGCCAGGAGCGGGGAGCATGACCTGCAGCCCACTCCTGGCTCCACTTCCTCCTTCCCCACTCTAAGATTTCCTCTACCCCGCATCATTCTAACTCAGTCCTCTTTCCTGTGTTTTAGGCCCACAGTTCCAGTGAAATTACAACCCCTGGTGAGGTCACAGGCAAGGGCACAACACTCAACCGTGTGTAAATCCAAGCTGGCGTCTCCACCCTTCTCTTAAACCGCACTTCCGCTGAGTGGGCTGCGGGCTGCTCCAGGCAGACACTTGTTTCTCTTTGGTGACCTCCTTTGTCTTACTTCTCATGTCCATCAGTTACAGGGTCCTCTCAGTAGTGCCTCCTACATATCTTTAAACCCTTCTCCGTTGCCTTTATCATCTCTAAACATGGACTATGGCACTAAGCTCCCTGACTAGCTTTCTCATCAATGCAACCACTGTGGCCCAAGAACAACCTTATTAGAAAGTATAGCCGATCAGACCACCTTACTACCCTGTACTCCCAAGTTCACAACCCTTCAATGTCTCTCTGTGGCCTATAAGCTAACATCCACGTGAATGGCTGACAAAGGCCTCATGCCAGCCTCAGCCTGCCTTCCATGCCTCTGCTCTGCCAGCCCCTCCAAGCAGCTTGCAGCTCCTGACCCCCACAAGCCCTCTGACCACCCATGCCTGGATATGTGCCCTTCCTGCCTCATGTCTAATGAGCACTATGCGGTCTGCATTTGCCCAGAACCCTCCTCTTCCCTCTTAAGTCTTATCCCCGGGCCCCAGCTGCCCTGGAATCATACACATGGGCCTCTCCTTCCATATAGAAGTCAAGGGAAAGACCGAAATCCTACCATCTTTGTGCACTCTGCATATAGTACAGTGTCAGTGTTGGTCAAAAGACAGCAAGGCAGGGAGAGTGGAGGACAAAGCAGGACAGTGCCTTTTCTGTACAGACTTGTGTTGTGACAAGATTTCCTGGAAGACAGGAGGCCCAGGCCCCTCAACCTCCTTTCTTCCAGTCACCAATGGCTTCAGTGGTCAGATTGTGCATTTAGAAGCCAAATATAAAAATAATGAAATCTAAGACATGAGACCATGAAACTCCTTGAAGAGAACATAGGCAAAACGTTTTCCAACATAAATTGTGGCAATGTTTTCTTGGATCAGTCTCCCAAGGCAAAAGAAGTAGAAGCAAAAATAAACACATGGGACCTAATCAAACTTAAAAGCTTTTGCACAGCAAAGGAACCCATCAACAAAATGAAGAGACAACCTGCTACAGAAAAGAAGAAAATAATTTTTTTAAACAATGTAAACAATGTAACAAGGGGTTAATTTCCAAAATATATGAACCGTTCATACAACTCAATAATTCCCCCATCAAAAACTTAAAAATTGGCATGTGTGCATTCGCAGTTGTGTCCAACTCTTTGCAACCCCATGGACTATAGCCTGCCAGGCTCCTCTGTCCATGGGATTTCCCAGGCCAGAATACTAGAGTGGGCTGCCAAGTCCTCCTCCAGGGGATCTTCCCGACCCAGGGATCAAATCTGCATCTCCTGCATTCCAGGGGAGTTCTTTGTCACTGAGCCTCCTGGGAAGCCCCCCCCAAAACGGGCAGAATACCTAAACTGACCTTTCTCCAAAGACATACAGATGGCCAACAAACACATGAAAAGATGCTCAACATCACTAATTATTAGAAAAATGCAAATCAAAACCACAATGAGATATCACCTCATACTGGTCAGAATGGCTATCATTAAAAAGTCTACAAATAAAAAATGCAGGAGAGGGTATGGAAAAAACGAACCTTCCTACACTGCTGGTAGGAATGTAAATTGGTGCAGTCATTATGGAAAAGTCTGGAGGTTCCTCATAAAACTAAAAATAAATCTACCATCTGATCCAGCAGTCCCACTCCTAGGCACATATCCAGAAATGATGAAAACTGTAATTAAAAAAGATACATGCACACATGCATGTAAAGCAGCAGTCTTTACAAAAGCCAAGATATGGAAACAACCCAAATGCTCATCAACAGAGGATTGTTTTAAGAAGATGTGAGAGAAACACACACACAATGGAACATTACTCACCCATAATGAAGAAATATTGCCATTTGCTGGATGGACCTAGAGAATATCACACTAAGTCAGTCAGAGAAAGACAAATATCATATCACTTACATATGGAATCTAAAAGAATTATTCATATTATTCTATATATAAAACAAATAGATCCATAGATGCAGAAAATAAAGTTGTGGTTACCAAAGGGGAAGCGGGAGGTGGGGAATAAATTAGGAGTATAGGATTTATAGATACACACTGGTATATATAAAATAGTTAAGCAACAAGGCTTCACTGTATAACACAAGGGTCGATATTCAGTGTCTTATAATAACCAAAATGGACAGTAATCTGAACATATATCTATATAACTGAATCACTGTTATTCAAAGTGATTAGTTTGAACCACTTAGTTTCACCTGAAACTAACCCAACATTGTTTATTAACTAACTCCAATTTTTAAAAAACCACCACCAAAGAATCTATTAACAGGATTTGTCTCTTTCAGTAACCTTGGGGGCAATATCATCAACGAGGTGGTCCTGAACCTGCTTAAGGCTGGGCAGTCCCGGGAAGAAATCAGGATGGAACACTTAGAGTCCCGCCTCCAAGCTGAGATTGCGGCATCCACAGGTAAGTGACTCCCAGCCTTGCAGAACATAAGCCTCTGATGAGAGGGGAGGTAGGGAAAAACGTGTATGTGCTGGAAGTTGTGTTCATGAGATAAGACGGGGTACTCAGGACCACAGAGGAGATGCCATATAATATTCCTGTTGTCAGTTTGAGGTAGGCATGAGAAAAGTCCTTTTCTGAAAACTATTCCTTAAAAACGGAATAGTTGGCCTTGGCCATACAGACTCTTGAAGAAGAAAGTCTGTGTGAATCTCAGTGGCTCAGCCTCCAGTCATAGGTAGGGTCGCTGCACCTCTGCCATCAAATGAAGCCATAACCTGACAAGCATGTGCATTGTCTCTCCCTCTCTCACACGTCTTGTTCCTCTCGGCCCCCTCTCCCTAAAGGGAGACACAGATGCATAGTTCTTAAGACAGCCTTCCCCGAGTTGGCATATGAGATCAAACCTCACCCAGGCCTTAGGGTGGGGGAACACCTCGACTCCGGCTGGGCTCAGCCTCAGGTTAGACCCCATGTAATGCTGCTCTTGATTTCAGACAGTGGCTTTGGGCACAGCCGTCTTGTGAAGGAAAACCTGATCGACCTCTTCATCCCCTTCCTGCCACTGGAGTTCCGGCACGTGAGGCTGTGCGCACGCGATGCTTTCCTGAGCCAGGACCTCCTGTATACGGAAGAGGCCCTCGACGAAATTGCTAGGATGATGGTGTACATCCCCAAGGAGGAACAGCTCTTCTCATCTCAGGGATGCAAATCTATTTCCCAGAGAATTAGCTATGTCCTGCCTGAGGGCTAGATGAAAACTTCCCGAAGCTGCCTTCCTTCCCCTAATGGACCCTGGGCTGCCGTGGCAGCACACTGTCCAGGACATAACGGGTTGGAAGGGCAGGCTGGCAGCCAGCAGTCACGAGCACACGAGCGGTGTGTAGAGGGCAGGCCTTAGATCAGAGACAGAGCCAATGCTTAAAATCACTTGGTGCCTTAAAGAGCCACATTCCGAAATGTGAGCCAGCTGGTTGGGGAAGGTCATGCGGGAGAGACATCCCAAGGATTTATTAGCATCTGCCCGCAGATCCCTGGCTTTCGTATTGGGCCTGAGGCTGCAGTATGCTCGGTTACAGAGAAGGGAAAGACGAACTTCTGCTTACCAGTGGCAGGGGCTGACCTCACATTTGCAGGCTGGGTGGGTGAGCTTTCAAGTTGTTATTCCTAGAGGGAGGCTGAGCAGCTTCTATCTGTGAGCTCAGGCAAGAGCTTCAGGCTAAAGGGCACAGAGGAAGTTTGTTTTTTTTAATCAGTATAGGTGAATTCTTCTGCTCTGCAGATTTTTAAGATTTAAATTAGTGAACTTAACATATGTAAAGATTAAAATTTTGTATTTTTTTCTAAAACCCTCAGCTTACTTACCTTCTTACTAAGCAAGACCTAGTAATCATGCTCCCAGAGCAAAATTCCACACACCAGGTGGTATGGGTGGGGACTGGTGGAGATGGGGTGTGTGCTGCCACTGAGCTGAGGGGGGTCACCTGCTCTGTCAATTTACCTCCGTTTGCTTCGGGCCCACATCAACTGAGCCAGGCTATTTCCACCTCTTAGTGAAGAGGCCTCCACAGCATCTTGCCCTTATGTATGGAAACAGCACTCCTATGCTCCCAGCTTTAAAGTCATCCTGGAGGACTGAATGGCCACATGCAGATGTGGGCACTGTGCCTCTGGATACACAGGAGGTGCTCGCCATTTTGCCCCTTCCCTTGGTTCTTCCCTTCTACCACACTTGTGGAATCACACACGGCTCTGACCCTTGGTTCTTCCCTTCTGCCACACTTGTGGAATCACACATGGCTCTGCTTTCGCGTCCTCCCCTCAGGTGGTCCTTTTATTTACAGTCCACCCCGCCCTCACCGGCAGTGCAAGTAAAAGGAAGACGCTTCCGCTTCTCTCCCATTTAACCATTCATTCATTCACTCCACAGCTGCCCGCGCCACATCAGATACCCAGTCAATACGCAAGCGAATGAAAGGAGCTTAGTTTCGCACCACCCATGAGACGGAAGTAAACTTGGCCCAACTGCAGAATGAAATGGGGGTCAGTCTTAGGTGCCTGTCTCAGTCTAGAGCATCTCGGGAACAGTCTGCAGCCCCCCAGTCCTGTAACATACCTGGATCGAAACTGTAGAGACACTTTAAAAGGTACGTCGTACAGCTTTAGGTCTCAGAGCCACGGGACAGCTGACTTGCTTACAGCACAGGCCAGCCATATCTGACGTCATAAATTCTGGGTCTGAGCCTCACGCCTCGAGACCAGAACGAGCAGCAGACTACAGTAATTGCAGACGCTCCTCTGGGGCCAGAGACGGCTCAGCGGCCCAGCTGCTCACCGCCTGCTGGTGAGACCACGGGAAAGCTGCTAGCTTCAGTTTAACCTTGGTAATGACTGTGCTTACCTCGCAGGGCTGTGAGAGTTCAGTGAGTTAGCATTTATCAAGTGCTCAGGACACAGAAGGTTGGCACCACACTCAAAGCCCAGGAAGGGCCTTTCCCTCCATTCTCTCAGACCCCTGGTTTGAGGTAGCGTAACGTTTGCAAATACGTCATGTGCCACATGCGCTGCCTAACCTCATGTAATTCTTAATGCTGTGGATTAAACTACCTCATGTAATCCTTAACATTATGACTTAGGGGTCAGTGTAATCACCATTCAATGACTGAAAAAACTGGGGCTCTGAGAGGTTTAATTATCTTTACAGAAGTCATCAGTGGAGAAATGGGATTCAACTCAGGCAGTCCAACTCCAATGCTTTAATGACTTGTTTCTAAAATGATTTTTTTTTTTTTGGTGAATGCTAATGCCTTGGGTTTGGAAAGTATTGCAAGCAATACAGAGAAGGAGAAGATAACAATGGGAGGTTCTCCTCAGAAAAATCTGAAACAAGAATTCCTAAAGTAAAACTGTGTGGGAGAAAAGGAGACAGTGGAGGGTACGAGGTGTATAAACTGACACTTAACAGGGTCAAGGAGGAAGTTTTCCTTCTTCCCTTGCTAGAGTCTTTGGCTGGCCTAGTAACTGACATAAGATTAAGAGGAGAAAAATAAGTTTAATAAAATGTATACATGGGAGAGACACAGGAAAACTAACTTCAAAATGGCAGAAGTTATCACCTTAAATACTATTTTCAGCTAAAGACAAAAGTAGATATTGGGTCCGGTGGGGCAGGGAGGTGCAGGCCGGCGGTCAGTTACAGACGGTTACCAGGAAGAGCACAGTAAACCAATGTGAGGCTGTTCTGCAGGTTTACTGACAAGTCACCACCTTCTCTGTTGTTAAGTTTTTAGAGACTTGATCCTCCTCTTCCAGGAACAGCAAGGGAGATACCCTAACAAGTGGAGAGTTCCCTCACAAATGTAAATCTCTCACAAAAGAATAACTTTTACTCAGTTTTCAGAGCTTCACCTGTGTCCGCAATTTCTTATAAATAACCAACTTAAAATAATCCTTATGCTAAAGCAGCGCATTTTGGGGTGGCAAATTCTGCTCCCCTACAACAGCCATTCTAATTGAACCTTATACACACATCGCTTGAGTATATGCTACTTATCCTTCGGCAAAATGTCACTTCTATTAGAAATGAGCAGTCTATTCATAATAAGTCAAATAGTGGAATCAAAATGTCATAAATCTCTTAGCTAGGCAGAAACTCATAAGTTTTCTAAAATATACATACGATTTATATGTACAAAAATTTTTCTACTACACTTTATAAAAGCTTGAGAAAGAATATCAAAAAGGAGAAATTGAAAAACAAATGAAATGGGAGCACTGAATATGAAACAGAAAAAGTGAAACAAAACTAGATAAAAGTGCTAGATTTCCAATTTAAAAACACAGATATGCAACAAGCAACAAAGGTTTACGGCACAGCACAGGAAACTATAGTTAATATCTTGTAATAACCCATAATGGAAAATAATCAAAAAATAGTTATGTGTGTATACATAACTGAATCTATATATACACAATATATTGAATCAGGGCTTCCCCAGGGGCTCAGAGGTAAAGAATCTGTTTGCAGTGCAGGAGCCACAGAAGACACGGGTTTGATCCCTGGATCGGGAAGATCCCCTGGAGGAGGGCATGGCGGCCCACTCCAGTATTCCTGCTTAGAGCACCCCATGATGAGAGGAGCATGGTGTGCTACAGTCCACGGGGTCCCAAAAAGTGGGACATGACTGAGCACACACACACACATAACTGAACCACCTCGCTGTGCACCTGGAACATTGTAAGTCAACTACACTTCAGTAAAATATATTAAAAATTCAAAGCCAGAGGGATGGGACGGGGAGGGATGTGAGAGGGAGGTTTGGGCTGGGGGACACATGTGCACCCATGGCTGATTCATGTCAATGTATGGCAAAAACCACTACAATATTGTAAAGTAATTAGCCTCCAATTAAATTAATTAAAAAATTCAAATGTTACTTCTAAAAGCAATGAAATCACTCATTTCTTAAAAATTGAAGACCAAGTCAAAGAAGACTAGAATGTTCCCTGTGAGGTTCTATACTTACTCCATTAATGCTGCTTTGGCTCCAAACATTTTTAGAACTTATTTGGAGATGTCCTCAGAATGAACTTTCAGAGAATGAAGTTTCATTTTACAGTCAGCTCATGTTGGATGGGTGGATGGACAGACTCACACACATCACTCACCTTATGTATCAGCTGGGCTCCAGATGATCCTCTGGCCATTTCCAAAACTAATCCATCAGAGGATGAGTAGCCACACTCATAAAGGACCACTTGAAAGAATGTTCCAGGGGATGCTTGCTAAAATCAGCTTTTTTACCTTACAGATACCATTTTATATGTATATATAGACAAAGACATTATGCTTAAATTACCTATCAGTTAAAATTATGGGAGAAACACTCCAATCACAAGCCTATATTGACAATAAAATATTGCAACCTTTATTTAAAATAAAACACAAGTTGGCAAGCCTTGTGAGACAACAGGCAGACAGCATTCCCCTTTCAAGGGTCTCATTATTTACATCAAGTTTAACACTGTTAGCAGTTCACAGTCAGACGACAGGGTGAAAGTATTAAATTAGAAAAACGAAACACCTGAAAATATATCACAACAACAATTAAGAACACACACCTGACAACACTGGTAGTGTGACCCATGACTGATGTGTTTTCCGTTAAGTCCCACACTGTCTCACTGCATCCCCTTAGCAACGCACCCGGGGGTAGGCCCTCCAGACTTGCTCCTCTGTGCACCCATCACACACACACCTGCAGAGCGTGACCTTTGGTATAGACATTAAACACGTTTTAAAGAATCGGAATCATATGGTTTAAGGACAAAATTCTATCAACCACCATGAAATGTTCAAATTTATTTTTGCCAAGCGAGCACAACACTGGAGTTTCTCCACTGATAGTCACTACAGAATTAAGATTGCCAAGAAAGAAAAGTGTGGGGTCAACCCAGGGGACAGAGCTCTGAGCATGCACAGACAGCTCAGTCGGCCTGTTCACAGCACACACACTAACCAGGACACAGCTTCCAGTCACCACAGGGAAATCTGAGCAGCTCCCCCGACTCCCCTCCTTAGTGAGCGCGACAGTGTATGTACATAATGTGTAATCGCATGTTCCCTCTGCGCAGATCTGAGAGGTGGTGGTATCCAAACATACGCCCTAGAGAACAATAAGATGAGAACCTCATGGGTCCTTCCAGCTGCTGAATACTAATTTCTCTGAAGGGCCGTCTAATCAAGGTGACTTCTCAAAGTCTCAGCGAATGTCCTTCATGATGGAGTTCCAAGAGTGGTCACAGTGAAAACCGGTTTGTCAAAACAGAGGAAGGCTGGTTATCTGGCCCTCATCTATTAGAAACACCTGTCTCGTGGCATTCTTGCCACTCATAAAACATGGTACGCTACTTCTGAATTGTACAGAACAGTATTTGGATTCTCCACCAATAACTTCTGAATTGAGAATAAATTTGTTTGGCCTATCTATGTTATTACTGTGTTAGAAATGCTGAAAATTATCTTTTGATGTGAAAACTTTACTAACCAGAGGTCCCAGTCTCCAATTAAGAGTTTATAGTGCTTAATTACATGATTCGAAATGCCTATCCTGAGGCTTAGAGGCAAATCTAAGCAAGCTCCAACCAGACAAACTATGCATTTCCTTTCTAAAAGCCCACTGGCATTTCACAGTCCACCTCCCCTGTGTCCTGACGAGTTAGCGAGAATTCGCCGAGACCTCAAGCCTTCTGTGTATAATAGCTCAGCAGCTTGAATGACATGGAGGATCCGGAAACCTGCTGCTTTGAGTACAATGGTAAACAGAGAATCTCACAGAACAGACACAGACAGTGTGTACTGGGGGGGGGGGGGGGGGTGGTGTGTGTGTGTGTGTAGCACACCACGGCCCTTCAACTTAAAAGGAGACATCCTTTCCCACAGATGGGCTGCAGGTCTGAAGATCTGCACACACACCACCTGTGACCGCGGGCTGAGGTCACAGAGCAATGGGGAAGGGAAAGGATGTGCCTCTTCTAGGAGAGGTCAACTGTTTCAGGTTTGTAATAGTGCACTTGGAGGGTGGAAAGGGCCCAGTTGACAGCGTCTTCCCCCCAGCTCACCAAGCAGGTGGAGAAACATGCAGCGTCTACCTAGCCAGCAGCCCATGAGAGAGCAGCCCATCGACTGTGGCTCCGAGCCACCGCCACCAGAACGTTCGCTCCCCAAGTTTTAGTTCAGTAACCAGGCAGCATCAACCTAGCTGACAAGTCTTTTCCTCTGCAAAACACACGAAACCCATCTCTGAAGGCACAATTCTCTAGGAATGACTTCTGCCACTCTGAGTCAGCCGGGAATCAAGATGCCCGATGCCGGCCTCCTCAGAGGAAAACACTGATGATCACCTGG